GCTTTGATGGGTCGGCTAAAGTAAGGTTCGAGGAATGGAAGCGGTCCATTGGGGTGGGCATCCGGGCTCAAGCGTTGTCTGCGGTGCAACAGGTAGACTTTGTGCAGGACCAGTGCATTTTGGGCTTGGACTTCCTCAGGGGCATGGCCTGCCAGCTGGACTTGCAGGGTAACTCGCTTTGTTTTCCAGGCGGGCCTGTTGTCCCCATGGTCCCTGATGCCCTGCCTGTTCATTTTGTGGTGCCAACAACACGCGTTCCTGAGGCCCCGGGAACCTTGATTCCTAATGGCTCCTGTGGTGGTTCTACACCCCCAGCCCAGCACCCACCGCCATGGGGCCAGTCACACCCTGACTCAGCTGCTGCCCACACCCTGCCTTTGTCTAGCAGGGACTGTTCTGCAGACTCTGCCCTGCCTCCCCGGGCCCCTGCCCAGTCTGATGGTGTCGATGAGTCGGCAGCGGGGGCAGTTATGGGAGCTGCTGGTGGAATTTAAGGACAGTTTTGCCGCACGCGAGGGGGATATGGGGCGGACACATTTAGTGCAGCATGAGATCGACACCGGGGATGCGGCACCAATAAGGATGCGCCCTCACCGCCTGCCACTGTCTCATCAGCAGGCTGCGGAGGAGGCTTTGCAAGAAATGCGACAGGCTGGGATTATCGAGCCCTCAGACAGTGCATGGGCGGTGCCTGTGGTGATGGTACCCAAGAAGGGGGGACACTGGCGTTTTTGTGTGGACTACAGGCGCCTGAATGCTGTAACAAGGAAAGACTTGTATCCCCTACCGCGTATTGACGAGTCATTGGATTTGGTGGGGGGCTCTTCCTGGTTCTCCTCATTAGATCTGCGCAGTGGGTATTGGCAAGTGCCGCTTGCACCTGAGGCCAGGCTCAAGACAGCCTTTTGCTTAAGTGGGGGGCTATGGCACTTTAAGGTTCTGTGCTTTGGCCTTTGCAATGCACCGGCAACATTTGAGCGATTAATGGATAGGAGTAATAAGCTGGCCGTCGTGATTGATGTAGCAATACCAAGTGATGGCAACATCAGGAAAAAGGAACACGAGAAACTAGAGAAATACCAGGGCCTCAAAGAACTTGAGAGAGCCTGGAGAGTGAAGGCATTGGTGGTGCCCGTGGTCATGGGGGCACTCGGGGCAGTAACCCCCAAACTGGAGGAGTGACTAAAGCAGATCCCAGGAAAAACATCAGACATCTCAGTCCAGAAGAGTGCAGTACTAGGAACAGCTAAGATACTGCGCAGAACCCTCAAGCTCCCAGGCCTCTGGTAGAGGACCCGAGCTTGAAAAGGACGAGACCACCTGCGGAGGGTGAGGAAGATCATTTTTTCTTTATATATCTATATGATCCATCGCTAAACAAGAAAACGCGTCGAGAAATCATACGCGTAGCAAGTTCTTTCGTAATTAAAGGTAAGAGTTAACAAGAATAAATAGCTAGCTAGGTAGCAAGAAATCAGAAAGCGGCACGTAAGACCTCTATCACAGACACCTATCGCACCCGCTGCATCCACAAAGCCACCAGCATCGTGGGGACCTCACACACCCCTCACACACCCCTCATACACACTCTTCACCCTCCTGCCTTCTGGCAAGAGGTACCGGAGCATTCTGGCCTCACTGCCAGACTGTGCAACAGCTTCTTCCCCCAAGCCATCAGACTCCTGAACAATCAGAGACCGGACTGATACACACACCTTTACACAGTCCACTACCTCAATAACTTTTTGCATAACCTATTGCACTGTTGCACTTTACACTTAGCCTGTCTTACTCTTAAGACATGTCTTACTGTCATCTCTTCTATTGCACTGTCTTGTGTCGCACTGTTTTTGCAATGTATGCACTTTTTGCACTACGTCCTGTGTGGATGTAGTGTTATATGTAGCACCATGGTCCTGGAGGAACGCTGCCTCGTTTCACTATGTACTGTATTACTGTATATGGTTGAAATGACAATAAAAAGCCACTTCACTTGACTTGGGTGAGGTTGTTGTCCTCACACCATGACACCAGACTGGCCACCTCTCTCCTTAGGCTGCTTTGTCTCCTCCAGTGATGCGACCGATAACTGTGGTGTCATCCGCAAACTTCAGAATGATGTCTTTGTGGGAGGCGACACAGTAAGTGCACTTTTGCTCAGAACAAAAAAAGCATTTGAACATATGCAAATTAAGAATAACAATAAAAATTAGTAAGTATTTCTTCTGTTCCCCAAACAGTTACTGATATCTAGTTGGACAGATAGATGAACAGCGCTTCAGTTCCCAAACCTCTCCTCAGGGGCACCTCAGCCATTCCATGTGTTTATTAAATTTCACATCCTGCACACTTAATTAATTTAGTAAGATAACACAGTTAATCAGATATTGATTAACTATACGAGGTGTGCTATTGGTCAAGTCAAGAAGTAAAAGTGTGTACTGGATGGTTGCAGCAAATACTTGTGCAAGTTTAGCAGAAGTTTCAAAAAAGGCTAATCTGACACACTTTGACAGGCACAACAGCATTGTTTTACACCAACATGAAGATCATTTAAATATAATTTTCTTTGGCTGCCTAAGACTTTAATACAGTACTGTATGTTTTCCTGTTTTTCTCTGAACAGAAAGTACTCAGACCAAATACTGAACATGAACTGCTGTTCACTTTATGAATAAGCTGATACTGAATTTTAGAGATTCATCTGGACTGAAAATATTGGTTGGAAGAGAAGATACAAATAAATTACACATTTGTCTGCACACAGTGTACACATAATCTACACACAAACTAGTAATCTATAGACAATTATCTAAACACAAAAAAATACAAAAATATGCTTGTAAATATAGAGTTACAATGATTGTCACAAACTCATTTTTTTTAAATCAAAACAAACCAATATGGAAATATCTTAAAAGATATCAATTATAGAAAAAAATGCATTCTGTATGTGCTACATTAAATTGCTACAGTAAAATGTCCAGTTTCAATTTTAGATAAAATCTAAAAAATCTTACAAAACTTCAGGCAAAATTTTACAAAAGATTTTAAAACCAGACCAGTTGATGGCACAGCGGACAGCACTCTGTCCTCACACCTCCAGGCTGGGGGTTTTGATTACTGCTTCTGCTATGAAGAATATTTCTGTGGTCATTCAATATGAGCCACTGTCCAGATAGCAAAATGTTAATTTTGCAGTGTCACAAAGATACAGACCATGAAGCACCTCTAACAGACCACTAGGTGTCTGGTCTCATGTTTATAAGAAGCTCCTAACCCCTTCAGAATTCATGATGTTGCCAGGACTTATGTAGCCAATGTTGGGGGAAGTGTAGTAGGAGCCAATCACAGGGCTCCAAGGAAATTAGGAGCCAGGTTTATTAAAAAGAGAGAATCACAGTTAAAGCACCTAAGGTTCAAAATCCAGGTAACCAGGAGTTTAGAGGAAGATCACCAAGACAGAAGCTCTGCAGTTGATTTGTTCTTTTTCAAAATACAAAGAATATGCCTCTGGTGAAGTTTTCCGGGGGGGGCGCCAGAAGATGCTAAGTCAGTGTCCAATGGGATGACTGGCACTGCCTAAAAGCCAGGAGGGGATGTATATGCTGCATTCCTCTGGAGAAAAATCAAGGATTATTTAACCGCTTTGCGGTTATTGAAGAAGGGGGAGGGGAAACATTCAGAAGTATCAGGCGGCTCCTCTGTGGGTTTATTTCACATCGTCATCTTATACCTGAAGAAGAAACAAGCTGCCTGTTAGTACAAGAGCAACGTGAACTACTAACCTCTGCAGAATTCAGCAAATACACCTGTAACAGACCAGGACATAAATGCAGGATCCACAGTCACTGTCTTATGGAAGCTAATTTTACACTGAACCCAGGGGGATGGAAATTAGTCAGCTTATACATAAAAGGACCTTTGGTTACTTTCCTGAAGTTATTACTAATATACTGACTTACTTCTGGTGGACTTGGCAGCATATTTCCACCTTCTGGGGTTTGATCCTGTCAAAATTGTAGAATGTAATTAAGTTGCTTCAATATATCACATGGATTTTTCTCAAAAAATATGTGCAAAAAAACTGAAATTTAACACCTTATTCTGCTCGCGGATTCCTAAAAGATATATGTTAATTTAAAAAATTATCACAATACAGCTTGGTGTCATTCAAGTTCACTTCTTCATTCTGCATTTAGTATTTCAGATTACTGCTAACTTTAGTTTTTAAATGACCCTTTTTATAACCAATAAAATCCATTTTTATAAACCCTCATATGCACTTAAGTATGTAATACTCTTACCACATTCAGGAATTTTTCTTCTTCTTCTGCATATTACTGCTGTGACTGCTATTATTATTATTATTATTATTACTGCTGACACAGCTATTTTAACTGTCAATCCAATGTCACTTTTCCCTTTGCATTCGGAATCAGCTGCTTGGTCTCCTGCTTTAACTGTGTCAAGTCCTCTGGATTCACAGCTGTACAAATAAGCGTGTATGATGAGAAACTATTGTGACCAAATGTAATACAAATTCACAGGAAAATAATATGTTTACCATATTTCACCAAAAAAATCCTGATCACTGACTGACTGGAATTATGAAACTTACTCTGTGTGTGGTTTACAGGATATAAAAGAGCCATTAGAGTATGAATTATCACTGCATTCCTCACACACTGTATCACTATATTCTGATCCTGAAAGGTAAACAAAATTAAAACCATTAACTTATTTCAAGAAGCCAATGTTAATATCTGGGTTTACTCATTAAAACATATATTATGTGTATGAGAAATCCACACAAACCGGGCTGTTTGATGAACTGTCCAGGTCTGCAGGCTGTGTGTTTATTGGCTGCCCTGCACCCTCCCTTATAAGGATTAATACAATAGTGCCCTTCCAGGACCCCACACACTGTGTCTGAAGAGGGTGTACATGCCCTCACTGTTTTCACACCAAGGCCTGTGGAGGGAAGAGAAAAGTAACCAGATCTAATATAAACACCCAAGACAAAAAATGAATGTATTATACTGGATGAATGAGTAAATAAGATGGGTAGCTGAACTGAAATGTTACCTTTAACACAGACTGTACAGGGGCTGCACTGTTCGAGACCATTGGGCTGGTCATTGAATGTAAAATCTATGCATGGAGCACATGAAGTGCTGGTCCATGCTGTACAATGTCTGTAGACACGAGTTCCTGGAAACAGAAGAGATGCTGGTTATTCTGCCAGATTCCTTTGATGTTTCTAAACAATGAGAACAGACTTGTGGCCACTATGGTATAATGTGACTTACCAGGGTGACACATAGGACAGCACTCATCACCAATTTTATATTCAGCCTGGCCGCATGCGTAACAGGGATTATAATTAACACACAGAAGAATAATGATTAAATATATCTGTGGGAAAAAAAATCCCATTAGACCAGAGGTGGGCAATCTTATATGCAAAGAGCAGGTGTGTATAAAGGTTTTTGGGATAACCTTCAGATCAGCTGTTCAAACCCAGGTGTAAGGATTCTTCAGCTAATCAGTCTTCTAATTAATTCCCTAATTAGGGAGTTGCAGCAAAAACCCGAATACATAACAGCCCTTTCTGGATGAGATTGCCCACCTCTGCATTAGACTGTATGAAATCAGTTGAAATCTAAGCAAATTACAATTAATCAGGTCACATGCTTTTCATTAAACTTACATGGGCTGTGACTAAGAGCCTGACAACATATGCTGCTTAAGCAATGTAAACATAGTTAAAACAGGATTACCTGATAATTTTAGATATTTCTAATACAATTTAATGAGAAATGTGGGTCATTAATAAAATTACTAATTATCTTTTATATACTCATTATATATGTCATACTCAAGTGCGAGATTAAAGTAACTACAGTCAGATGGTTAACTGGCAAAAACATCCATTGCAGTGCTGATAGACTGAAGATATTAAAGATTAAAATGAGTTTATAGTGTAAGTGGTCAGCCCATTCTGATCTGCATGATGGCTTAACAGGTTCACAATGTTTTACCAAAACTGCAAGAAACACTAAATGAATCTATAGAGCTGACAAGTCATTCTGTGCTCTGGGACTTTCCAGGCCTGATCTGTGTGATTCCGTAAACTTCCTGCTTATAGAGAAGGGACAGATAGGAAGAAGGATGAACAGACAACATAAATCTAGAAACAGCTACAAAGCTTTAAATAAATGTTACGACCTGAAGCAGAATAAGCATGTTGTGAACAGTCTCTGGGTGAAACTGGCATCCAGTACTTGAGAAATAACCATAAATCACAGATGATGGATTCACTTTCCATTGCACAGCACTGCTGACCTCCTTCCCGTTCTCTTACATCAATACGGTGCCATCCTGGGTGAAAACAGGGAATACATTTAAAAACAGAGATGGACATTTTCATATTTTTCTTACATCTATTGTTACACACTCAACCCCTAATGAACTCCGTTCCAGCTTGTCCATGATCCAGACCATGTTTTCCTCCTGTCACCAGCCACCTCCATTCCAATTTCCTCCAGCTCCATGCCACAGAGTTATTGAGTGAGAAATCAGGGGTGTCCCAAAGCTACAGGCACTTGGGGGGAGTCAATTATATAAAACATTATCTCCTGCTGATGATTACCCAGTAAAATCAGACTCACAGGGACTGATGTGGTCAACCTAAGTCAGTTCCTGTCCATTGAGACCATGAGTCACAGACAGGAGGGAGGATGTGAGGATTCTCTATGTTGAAACCAGCCCACTAATTTCAAAACTCATTTGACTTGGGTGAAGAGTTTCATCAGACTGGTGGCTGATTCCATGGACCGCTCAGTAGAATCCAATCTGAACTCCTGTCTTCCAAGCAGGTTTCTTATCTCCATGGCACATTTAAAGTGGCTGAGGTTTGCTGCTCCATTCTGGGTCAGTCATACTCTTACGACCAGGCACAGCAAAGGTTGGGCTCAACAGCAGAGCACAGTGCTTCCCGATCCGGTCCTCATCATCACTGAAACATTGGCTAATTATATTAATCTAATGCAGAGCAATAATCAAGCCTGTCGAGCTGGCAGGTCACTGTGCAAGGATGGAAACTGGAAACTGTGGCATGGATCTAGGGAAAAACTGGAATGACTAGTGACAGCAGAAAAACGTGGTCTGGATCACGGAGAAACAGGTGTTCGATGATGAGTGGGCGTAAAAGATATTTCCATAGGTTAGGCTCAGACAGAACGGGAAAGAAATACAGTCGAATACGAACATTTAATGCCGAAATGAAACCATAAACAAAGTCTAAGTACCTTTTCAAAGTACTTTTACAATCGGTTTCTTTACAATCACGTTGGATAACTATGGGAAACAGATCGACTTACCCCTAGCTAAAGCAGTGTCCTACCCGAAGTTCAAGTCGTATGTCTACTTGCAATGTCGAAGCCCAATGTGTCCGATAAAATGACTCGCGATAATCCTAATAGCAATATTACATTGGTAAACTCAAATTCTACTACTTTACTCAAACCAAGACACCGCGGTGGCAGCAACAGAAAGTGAAGTGAAAGAGAAAGCTAGATTATTAGATAATCAGATAACCCCCGAATGAGGCTGACGCATGCAGGTATTCATAACACATGCTCCGGTGTTCTGTCGATATATGCTGCCTTGTCGAAACTCTTACCCTAACCCTAACCCCCCAAAACCCCTAAAACCCTTACCTTAACCCTAACCCCTAAAACCTAACCCTAATCCCAAGACGGTGGAACTGCACATGCGCAGAAAGGCTCGATAGCACGTCTCGATAGGTAGTATTTTTCGACAGAACACCGGCGCCACAGTATATTAATTATGAGTACTTCTTTACTACCAGTATAATAATTTCGTCTTATTTTTCATTACTCACGCAAAAGTTTGGGAGGAAGAAGTTCTTGCACCTAAAACACCGAATTCTGTAACGATCGTATCATGTGACTGGCGGCGCCGTTTCCTATGTCATTACGAATGAAAGTGGGGTTACTGTTCACGAGCATGAGCCCTCGAGACAGTGGAGAAATTAGAGAGCTCTTTATAAACTCAAACTATTCTCATCCCAGCTTCAAATACCTGTATGAAGTTTGCACTCATGAGATCAGAAAATAATGAATTCTGTTTGTGTTTGTTTTGTGCAGGTTTGTGCAGCAGAAATAAACATTTGTAGTTTACTGCAAATTTCAAGTACTGCTTCAACTACCATATGTACTGCTGCAACTAGGTTCAGTATTAAAGTTGATCCTTTTCTAGTTTGTTTATTTTCTCTTTATCCTCAAAAGTTCATCAATAGTTGCTGAAGTGCCCCATGTATCATGCTGCGTCTCAGCTCATGCCAGCTCTGCAAGGTGGCACTGTGGTTCACGTCACTGCCTCACACCTCCATAGACCAGAGTTCTAATGAATCTTTTGGCTCATTAAAGAGACTGAGTCAATTTTGGCAAAATTTCTTGTTTGTTTCAAATATGACTCCTGTCCTCTGGCTCACCTATGTCTACTCTAATTTCTCTTAGTGAATTTTAGAATAAATATATCAGACAAACTCGAAACACAAATTTGTCTCCCCAAGCCACTGAAGAGCAAGCTATGAGCAGTAAAATTTTCTTTGGGATATAATCTCTAAATCATGACTTCTGTTCATTTGTGCTGGGTTTCTGCTGGTTTGTGCACCAAAAATAAACGTTTGTACTTTATTGCTTTAAATATTTTAATTACTGTTTCAGCTAATGGATCAAGTGTCAATCCTGCCTCTTTCTTCTTTACCACTATGATGGATTGGTTCAGTGTTGGTGTTATCGGTCTAAAAATTCAGCTCCGGTTTGTCACCCAGAAATGTGTGCAATGTTTGCTCAAACAACAAAAAATGAGGAGTTTTGGCCATGTCCAGCTAGGAGGAGGCCCTGGGGCAGACCCAGGACACTCTGGAGAGATTATATCTCTTGGCCTGGGAATGCCTTGGGATTCCCCCGGTGGAGCTAGAGGAGGTGGCTGGTGAGAGGGAGGTCTGGGTATCCCTGCTTAGACTGCTGTCCCCATGACCCGACCCTGGATAAGCGGCAGATAATGGATGGATGGATGGACGTTCCTCTACGCCTCCCACTACCTTAGCAGAAAATCTATTTGCTAAACTAAATTAACCGAATGCAGAGAGAAGGGCTTCTATGTAGTTCCTCTTCTATTGACTGTAACTCCACCTTCCTGGCAGAGATAAGTCTCTCACTCATTTCAATGTAAATATAGCTACTTATCAGTCAGGAGGTGAAAGGACGTCAGGTGTTGATACCCATGACTATATACACTTATACAGTTTGTTTTTCCTACAGTTGTAATATGACATGTAATGTATTTGATCAAATAAAGATTTTACAGTGTCTGGACCCTTTATGGGAAGTGGCTGCAAAATGTCACTGTTGTAAACCACGATGTAAATACTCAAGATGGTAAAACATCTGATGAGAAATGCAGTTTCAGATCTCATTCTCATTTATCTTCACGTGTTCTTTTTTCATCACTACTTGGTGATTAACTTTATGGTGATTAACTGCGTAAATTGCACTGAATGGCAGCTGTAGGGCTAATGGCAGGTGTAGTTTTGTTTGCTATCAGCAATTTTTCATCTTGACTGCTAATCACAGTTTATAAGCTCTGTTAATGTTCTGTAATCATTTCTTAGAGTAGATATCACCCTCCCCTGTTTGTAATATCTGAAGTCATTTTGGTTCCTAGTTCAACAAACAAATGTAAAAGGTGTTGTTAATGACACAGCGATTGGACTGGGTCCACTTGAGACTGCATTGGATCAACACGGCCTGTTAATTGAAATGAATTTGACACACCTGCCATAAGCCGTCCAGTTTAAACCAGTCCTTTTCTTGACTTTTGATGACGTCACTCAAACAGTTAAAAGAATCCATCAGGGCTCTTAGAACTGATCAGTCACCAGTTCCTGGAGTCTCTGACCACACAGAAGTTTCAGGGGAATCAAAACTGAAGAGAAAAACTGAACAAGAGTGTACACAGGATACTTCCTAATGTCAGGTGTTTCTTATATGAAACCTTGGGATTTTTTTGTAAAGATCCCAATGTCCTTCTCAAAAGTAATCAAAAATCAATGAAAATTTTGAAAATGCACTTCAGTTATGCACCGTCTATTCATTTTTCAAATTGTAATCATGCTCAGGGTCATGAGGGCCTGATGGATGGAGAATTCGTTCCCCGACCAGGTTCTCTTACCAGAATATCCACACCCCCCCTTTTCACATTCCTCCACTGGCTGATTTTAGGGGGAGACAAACTAGTGTAAAAAAATGCTTGCAAAACACAGGCCTAAAGTCACAGTTACACTTGTCCTGGCTGCTCATGTTTGTCTTTGAGAGTTTTAGAGCAAATTCAGAGCTTTTTCAGGGCAGTCCAATGTCAAGATGGCTGCAAATACTGAACGCTGGCTCCATTGCTGAAATGCTGAAGGGGGCTCTGATGGTCCATTTCATTCCAGAGGAACTGGGAGAAGGGAAATGGACTTAAAATGTTAGAAAAATATTTTACCACATTCTGGGGGTGGGGGTGATGAAACAAACAAAAAAGGGAAACAAGACCGGCGTTGAGCTTAGAGATGCACAATGTCTGCACTGTTGTGACACGAAGCTGAATATGTGCCCAGAGGCAACAGCACAGTCATTTATATTCTGGGTGACAGACTGCAAATGAAACAAGCCTGTGATCTGACTTATCGGTGATATTCTGATGTCATTATCACAATTTGCTATAGTCAGCCCACACAGTTTCTGTTCTGTGAACCCCTTGTGGCAGCCAGAGGTACTGACGCTGTGCACAACTTTCTCAGCAATAACCATTTATAGCCCCACAGATTTTGCTCGCAATAATGCGCTCAACAACTTACTGCTGCTACAATTACAAAAACAGTCCAATAACCAATGTGCAAATGCCTTACCTGATGACAACTTAACAGATGCAACAGAACTATCTATGACACAGTGCAATATATGTTCAACTTATTTTATATGAACATCAATCTACTGGAGTCTATCCACATGTGCAATAGAACTATGATTATACAGTGCAATATACTTATACTTACATACTGCTCATTCTACTGAATTATTAACATGTGCAATAGAACCATTCACAATAATGTGCAATATACCGTAGTTTTTTCTTCTCTTCAAGTTACATTCATTATAACTTCTTACAGAGTCACTTGTATACAAGGTAACAGTATTTTATTCTACTCTGTTTATAAATGTTATTAGTGTGCTTTAATTTAATTTAGCTACACTAATCTTTAGTACTTCATTGTATTGTTCTTGTGTGTTGTGCAGTCGTAATGTAAGCAATTTCCTCCGGGATCAATAAAGTTTTCTGATTCTGATTCTGAAACAAGACAGGCATTGAGCTTAGAGATCTGCAAAATATCTGCACTGTTGTGACACAAAGCTGAATATGAGGCCAGAGGCAACAGCACAGTCATTGATATTCTGGGTGACAGACTGCAAATGAAACAAGCCTGACTTGTCTTTGATATTCTGATGTCATTATCACAATTTGCTATAGTCAGCACGCACAGTTTCTGTTCTGTAAGCCAGAGGTACTGACGCTGTGCACAACTTTCTCAGCAATAACCATTCAGAGCCCCACAGCTTTTGCTAGATAGCCAGGGAGAGAAGAGGGACGGCTTATTAATGTCCCACACTCAGCCGCTGTGTTACAGAAGAGGGACTGTGAATTCTGCAACATTATAGACAATATACAAATTTGCTGTCTTACAAATGTGTGGTTACAATTATAAATAAATTCAGAAAACTTCAGCCAAAATTTTGCAAAAAATTTTAAAAACACACCAGTTACCAGAACACTGGACAGCACTCTATCCTCACACCTCCAGACTGGGGGTTTTGATTACTGTAAGATAGTATAGGTTTTGTTGTTTGTTAAATTGTGTTATTCATTAGAATATTTGAAATATTACTGTTCAGTTCATTGTTGTCGAGTGCATTGGTTAATTTAACCAGTAGGTGGAAAACACTCACGTAAAGGCACGTAATATGTCATGTGATATATGTGTTTTTTCTTGTGAGACGGTCGGGTGTGAACGTAACACAGTTTTCTGACCGACTGCGATTAAAGCTTAATAGATTAGTGGAAGTATGTTTTGTTTTGTAAATGTTTTCCTTTGCTATATTTATTAGTAAAAGTTTTTTAAAGAACAAATAATAAAGAATTTTTGAGTTCGAGAATTTTTCGTCGCGTCAGACTAGTTGCCAAACACCTGCTCCGTTAGTGCCATAAAGAAAAAGGAGGAGTGCCACTTACAATTACCGTCTCTGCTCTGAAGAATGTCTCTGTCGTCATCCAATACAAGCCACTGTCCAACTAGAAAAATGTTCCCAGAGTCGCACAGATATAGACCACGAAACACCTCTAACAGACCATTAGGCGTCTGGTCTGATGTCTATAAGAAGCTTCTTTCTTTCAAAGCCAAATTCAGGGCTCCAGAGAAACGAGGAGCCAGGTTTACTTAAAATAAAATACAAAATAAAATAAATCACCCAAGAGTCAAAAGTCAGATAAGTAGGACTGTAGAGAAACGTCACCAAGACATGGACTAAGCAGCAGAAAGAAGCTCTGCAGCTGGTTTCTTCTTTTTCAAAA